ATCATGTTATAAATAAACGCTGATTGGCCAGGCAGGAAATATAGGTGAGAAAACCAGTCAAGAAGTAGAAATGATGTAATGAGAACAGGAGAATTCTGGGAAGGAGGAAGTTGATTCCTCCCACTCCTGCCCAGAACACCGAAGCAGCAGAATGTGATCTGCCCCACTGAAAAAAAGGTACTGAGCCACATAGCTAAAATAGATCAGAAAAATGGGTTAATCAAGATGTGAGAGTTAGCCAGTGAGAGGCTAGAGCTAATGGGCCAATCAGCTTATAATTTTATGGAGACCTATGTGTGATTTTTATTGGGGCCAAACAGTTGTGGGAACCGGGCAGGACAAAAACCCCAACAAGCAGCCTGGTCCCTGTCCATGTTACAATTTAGTATTCCCATCAAAGACAAACTATTCCCTGGAATTTCCACGCAAGTGTTTTCATGGAGAACCCAACACACAGCACACACTCGGTCAATCTATCTTAAAGAGCAACCATAGCGTTCTCTACTGCAACTGTGCAGGCCACGAACGCATCCTCCCTGGCCGTGTTGTCTCAGCAGATGCTGAAGCAGAAAGCACTCCTTGTGTGTGCTGCACTGGGCTGCAGGTAGTAACGATACCGAAGGAATAAAGGCGATGAACCTGTGTGTGGAAATGGAGGCGCCACCTCACGGGGTTTCCAGATTGTGTTTCTGTATTTGCACAAATGACTAAGCACGACGGTTTCACTTAGCTCCCCTTGGACAGCAAGTCGTGGAACTTAGCTGGAGGAACGGAAGGGTCTGACAGGGCTGGAGGAACCACCGACTCAGTAGGCTCCGAACTCTTTCTCTGTGTGCTGTTGGGTTTTGCTTTGTTTATTTTCGAGATGAGGTTTCCATGGTTCTGGCTGACTTTGAATTTCTCATGAAGTCTAGACTAACCTTGAACTCCAGATCCTCCTGCCTCTGAATGTTTTTTATGTGTGAGAGGGGGGAGTAGTTTTGGGTTTTGGACCCAGAGATCCACCTGCCTCTGCCTCCCCCGCCCCCAGGTGCTGGGATCAAAGGCCTGCACCGCTACCACCCAGTTCTGCCTCTGAGGTGGGCACTCACTCCAGCTTTCTTCTCTCCCGCTCTTTGCACGTAACCTTTTCTCTTCCTATTGGTGGACTTCTTCCACATGTCAGGGAGCAAGGCTCCTGACGCTTCCAGAGACTCGCTATGTTCACTGATGAATCAAGCCTTGTTCTCATTCTTTTGACCTTACATTCAAATATCTCAGGGAATAGAGCCAGCAAAACGGCTCAGGGGCTAAGGGCTCTTGTTGCCAAGCCTGACACCTGAATTCATTCTTGAGTCCTAAGTGATGGAGTGAGAAAACAGATTCTAATGAGTTGTCCTCTGACCTCCACACACACACACGGTGGCACACATGGGCCCACACACATACACACAAATAAATGTAATTTTAAAAACATTTTTAAAAACCTCAGGAAGGAATGTAATTGGCTAAGCATGGATGGTGAGGGGCGGGGACACTAATGAAATGACAGTTCTCACCTTGACATTGAGAAAAAAGAGCACCTTGAAGCAGACTTGATGGCTGGGAGATGACTCAGTGGTTCAGAGCGCTTACTGTGCAACCATGAGGTCCTGAGCTCCCATCCCAGCATCCATGTAACAATTCAGACGTGGTCTTGCATTGCCCGGCAACCCCAGTGCTGGGGTGATGGAGACTTGCCAGGTGCCAGCCTAGCCAAAAGATGTGAGTGCTAGGTTTAAGGGATCACCTGGCAGAAAATGAGTGGAGATACCAGACAACCTCCTTAGGCCTCTGCGTGTACACATAGGTATGCACCCCTGCATACCTGTGCACATGTAATTCTCCCTCACACATACAGACAGTGACACAAAGAAATAAACACGGAATTGAAGATAGATTTTCTTTTTAAGAAGAAGAACCCCGGATCTGGATGTAGGGAGGCTGGTTACCATAGATATAGAAATAGGAGTGATACAGCCTGCATTCAAGAGCTGCAGAGGAATGATGGGGGGTTCGGGGGGAACCCAAGACTGAGCTCTCAGGAGGCAGAGGAACAGCCTGTGAAGCACCCGGGGTGAGACCACATTCCCTTCAGCCGAGGATGAGAGCGGCCTGACTGTGAACACCCAGGGCAGCGCTCCACCCCTTGCCCCAGAGAGGCAACTCTACTTTCCCACATCTCGTGGTTATTTTTATGGTTAGATTTATTTTTACCCACTCTAGACCTCAAACCTGCAGCTGGAAGAAACAAGACACCGAAGCTTCTAGGTTTCTAGAAAACACAGGCTGCAGTGGCTGGGTCAGCTACAAAAGCCAGGCTGTGGCTTCCTCTAGAATCCACTGGAAAAGAAGGGGAAGGGGGAAAAGGGTGTGGGGGGGTCCTTTTCTCTCAGCCCACAAGCCCAGCCAAGAGAAAGCCCCGTTTCAAGAGAAGGACCTATAGCCCCTAAAGACACCAGCATCCCTGGCCGGCCAGCCTGGGGTGGGGACAGCAAAGCCTCTTTGCCTAGCAACAACCCTTCCACCGTGCCCGTAGCCTGTCTCCCTATAGCACAGAGAGCTCCAGGAGAGGATCTTGCTTTTCATGCACTGGCCAGCTTATGTCCAGGCATCATCCGTAGTGTCCCCAGGCCAGACAGCCAAAGTACACTTCTCCTTTTCTGGACCACACCTAGGTCTAAATGGTTATTCCCCCAAGACGAGTTTACCAAAGGGTTAGGCAATGCCTCCTCCACGACTGTTACTGCTGAAAGCTGAAAACATACTTTCACACATTTAAAGAGCCATTTCAGAGACTGGCCTCCTCATGATAAAGACACAACTGGCACTCACTTGGCCACGGCAACGTCAAACTGTTGCCACCCAGCGGAGTGCCTGACAAGCTATTAACGCTGAGGCTCTGTCTAGCTGACACCTCTCCTTTCCTTTCCCATGTCTTCCCCAACAACAAATGTGGGCTCCTGAGATTTGGGTAGGACTTACCACATCTAGTAAGGTACCCTCTGTCTTTTGGTGAAATGCCTAGGGATAGGAGAGAGATCAGAGGAGTTGGAGATGTGGGGACGTATGAGAACGATGCCACCTTTCGTGTCTTCTAAGTGCTCCAAGAGTGTAAGCAGAAATCCCGGCAAGAACTGCCTAGAACATCATCCTTGGTTTCTTTCATCAGAGGATGATTCTAAATTCTCCCCTTACCTCACAACTGGGTGGGCCTTGGGAAGAAAGGCAGCAGCATGGGCAGGAGCTGATTTGTTTCCGCATTAGACCGGAGGTAGATAATCTCTTCTATAAAGAGGAAACGCCTGGGTTCTGAGCTAAATAATCCCTTTACTTTCGCTTGGTTACCTTCTCCGTAGCTCAGAAATAGGATGCAGATGAGTTATTGAGAAATTGCAGAACATGTTAGGAGTGGACATGTATGCATATGATCCCGGCAATTAGACCGTAGAGATAGGAAGAGCAAGACCAGCCTCTGCTATGTTGCTTGAGGTCAGCCTGGAATACATGTCCCAAAACACAAAGCAAACAGAAAGGAATCGATGGGACTAGTGAAAAATTCAGGACCCAGTGATAGACTCAGTGGGTCTGCTTTGCAGCTCACAAGCCTCTGCATCCTGGGGCAGAGAGGGGCCAAGAAGCACAGATATGACCTGAGGTACGGAGTTAGTTCTGGGGTTTATGTGTTTGTTCTTCGGAGATGGGCTCTTGTTTATTGTGTCTCTCACTGTGTAGTCCAGGCTAGCTTCAAATGCCTAACAATCCTACTGCCTCAGCCTTCTGGTTGCTAGGATTACAGGTGTACTCCACCGTGCCTGGCTGGGTATGGGAGCATTTTTGAAGCTCTATTAATAGGCTGGGAAATGGTGACAGTCCCCTTCTTCACAGCATGCAGTAGACCTTAACTTGTGAGGTGAGGTTCGCCTGCCTTTCCTAAGCAGATAAACATGAGCGTGTATGCTGCCGGCTGAGGTAGGTGTGGGAACGTATCAGTCAATGAAGATATGTTGTATGAGCCAGCTGAGGGTGCGTGTTTGTACTTGAAAGCCATAAGGTTCCATGCAGAAGCTACGGGTAGCACTGTTGCACAATGCTGGTGGGTGTGTGGCACGGGGGAGTGATTAACAGTTTATAGGCTGTGTCTGAGTGTATATGCGTACAATCGAGAACGGCAATGTGTGACAGTATACCGACAGGCAGAAAAGCGCACAGCCTCTGGGACGGTCTGACTTGCCCTTGAGTCCTGACTCTGGTTAACCAGATGTATAACCTTGAGCAAATCACTCAATCTTTAGTTTCCTCAACCGTGAAACGAGGACAGGAATGAGTACCTTTTGAGACTGCCATGGGGGCTAGAAACGATACTGTAGATGCAAAGGTTTGGGTGTATAGCCTACACACAGGCAAGCGGCCAGTCTGTGCCCTGTGGACATGGCTTCGGTTGGGTACACAAGCAAGAGAGAGCAAGATGTGACCTGTGTCTAAAGGGTGAGGAGGCACCCTGAACAACTGCTTCGCCTTTGCCAGTGAACTCCCAGTTCAGATGGCGTCAGTAGATCAGGTGCCCACAACCTCCTGAGGTTTCTTGGTCTTGAGTCTAAATCAGTGTGAGATTGAGAGGCCTGGAGGAGCTACAGGAAGCAGAAAGGCTTGCAAACGCTGCCTTTATTTTCCCTCCACACGGCAACGGTTGAAGACCGCTGCCCACATCCACTCCCACCTCCACCCAGACCCACCCCTGCTCTGCTCTCTTTTCAACAAGTAAGAGTCAACGCTGGGGGAAAGCCAAGAGGACAGAGGATTCCCCATAGCCTTCCCCATTCCGCCTTAAAACTGAACAAGAAGCATCATCCCGCCGCGCCTTGCACTCGGGCCACCTTAAGAGCTGAGCAATGCTTTGGCCTCCCGCCAAGCCCCACCCCCGCCGGCTCGCACTCCGCCCCTTTCTCCTCCGGCTCGGCTGGGGGAGAGCTGGGGAGCCCCAGTCTGGCCGGAGTTGGCTGGAGCGGTTGCCATGACAAGCATTTTCTTAAGACAGCTCTGCTGTTGAGACCGTCCTAGGCTGGGGGTGGGGTGGGGGCACGAACTTCCTGGGGGACCATCCCTCCGAAGACGGCGAGTCAGACACCCGCCCAGCTCCCTGCACCCATTTTCTTCCAGGAAGGTCCTTCGCGTGGAAGGGCTGGGGAAGAAGACCCAGCCCACTCCCCCAGCTGTAGCGCAAAGGCCAGAGCGCAAAGCCAGCATCACTAGGTGGTTTGCCACACTGGGGAGAGCGGTGGGTGGTCACCCCACCCTACTCGGTTCATGGAAACGCGGAGGGAGAGTCCCGCTTGGAGACACCTGAATCTTTGCTAGAAAGAGAGGTAGGTTTGCAGAGAATGAATTGACTCTGGGATTTGCAAACTTTGTTTCTTTCTTTCCTCTCAATGGCTTCTCAAAGTACCCGAATTTCCTCGTGCTGGCAAATTGTGGGAGGGTGGGGTGGTGGAATAAGAGAGAGAGGTGGGGGGGGGGAGAAAATGGGAACGATTTCTTCAACGCGGTATGTCCTCGCTGGGTTCTGAAGAATCATATAATCAAACAAGTGATTCCTTTGCGTTTTCCTCTGGATCCCGGGACGGGTGGGGAAATGGAGGGACTGCCTTTTTCTCACCTAAATTAAGGTCTTGGAACAAGTATTTATTCCTGCCGACCCCCATCTGCTCCGGCTCTCCCCCCCCCCCTTGGCTTGGGAACCAGCCGCAGAATGGAAAACTGTTGCGGAAAAAAATATTTTCCGCGTCTGTTCCCTTTCTCGAAAGCCCCAAAGAGAGATGGGAAAAATAGAACCAAATAAATCTTCAGCGGGAAGGAAGGCCTTAGAGCCAAGGAGGGGGCACACTGGGGCACAAGGTGGAGGCAGACTAGGAGAAGTTGGAGGGTGAGAACCAGGAGTGCACAAATTAAATTTCTTTGGCTTTGCATAGAAACCTCAGCAGTTTCTCTCTGCGGCTTACAAAACATCCTCAGACTTTGACGTCTATAATTAGCTGTGGAAAAAGCTGGGAGTTCCCTCTCGCTGCTGTTGTTTGAGTGAGTGTGAGCGTCCAGAACCAACTGTATGAGTGTCTCTGAGGGCACCGCCCCGCACATCTCTGCTTCTATAGGAAAGGAAAGAGGGAACACATTGAAAAGTTTTCAGTTTCAAACCCGACTATGGGGCTGTTTGGCCTGAGCCTCTGGCATCTCCAGAGGGTCTCTGAACAGATCACTTAAGTGACAGACGCTTAGGCTGGGATTTCCCCCCCCCATTTTTTTTCCTCTCTCCCTGTTTTGGTAGTGGGGTCCGGCTGGCATCTTTCCCTGAGATGAGCCCAGCCTCAGACTCTGGTCCACCTCTAGAAGAAAGTGCCTGCTTGGTTGCTTCCAGCTGGGTAGGGGAGATGGGAGGAGAGGCCCAGCAAATCCTAGGAGCAGAGAGAGCATGCCCTGGCCAGAGGCATCTCCTTCCCGGGTACTGCTTCAGGACTCACAATCCCCTCCACACCTGATGCTGGCACGTGCTGGCCCCGTGGGAAGGTGAGGTGTCAGGTGAAGAAATCAGGGGCTGCTGTGATGCTGGGGGGGGGGCAAATTCCCATTCTGCAGGTTTTCTTCTCCTCCAGAGTTGGGGTGTCTGGCGAGGAGTCTTCAGATCCACCCCTTCCATGCTTTGACACCCCTACCCATCACATGAGCTCCCCCTGTACCTGGCTCTTCCCACTTAAGAGACCCTTGCTCTGGGTCCTCCTTATCTGGAAGGGAGGAGGTCAGGGTAATTCCAGGCTGGGGCCAGCATGGGAAGGGGTCTAGGGGAGAGGAGAATTTCAAGAGAGGACCCTATGATGTGGGCAGGCTAGCTAAGTTATCTTGGACACTCCGAGAAAAGCCTTGCTGAGACCCTGGGAAAGAAATAGAAGGAGAGTTTAAAAGGTAGCCAGGAAAGCCACCAGAGTAAGCTTCCTTTTGGAGGTGTTTGGTGACAGATCAGACTATACCCCTCGGCCACTCTACCCTACCTGTGGTCTGTTCCCGAAAAGCATTGATACCCTTCTGTAGGAAGAGGAGGAGGGACTCCTGGGGGCAGACACTGGTAGATCAGGACCGGGTGCTGCCTGAGGTGCTTAGCATGCACCAGGGGGCCGGCTCTAATGGCCTTGAGTCCCCGATCTTGGGCAGCTGGGGAGACTGCTTTCCAGCCAGCTGTGCCCCTACCTCTCCCAGCTGTTAGACTGGCTGGGCTGGGAATCCTGCAGCAGAATCTGGACACCCCCCCTCCCCTTCCCATCTAGCAGCCTCCGTGACCTGCCCTATTGTCAGCCTCTCGGCAGCCCGGCTCCACCCTCCCAGCTGGCTCTGCCTTAGTCTGAGTACTCCAAGGAGAAATGGCTTTGAGGGAGAAGAGGCTTCTAGCGTTCCAGCCCCTGCCAGTGCCTGGGTCCTTTACCCTTCCATTTTCCATCTCTGTGTCCCTGGATCCTTGGATCCAAGGTCAAGCTGAAGGGGCTTAGCTTGCCTCATCCCTCAGAGTCCCAGCTTCTGGCATCGTGCTGGGGCAAATAGAGGCGTTCTGTCGGTCAACACTTCAAAGAAGAGAGGGGCAATTTAGTTTTTAACAACATTTATTGGGGAACCACATCTGGAGGACAGAGGACAATGTGTTCTCTCTTTCCACCAAGTGGGTCCATGGGGACCAAACTCAGGTCGTCAGAGGCTTCAAGGCAGGAGTCCTTCCTTACCCACACAGATACATCTTGTCCCAGAGGGTGGAGTAGTAGCACCTGGGAATCAGTTGCTTGGGGAGGTGCAGGAAGGGGCCCCTAGTTGGCCCTCTGTTCTATAGCTTCTCCTTGATCTGGGAACCCTGCTCACCGCAAAAGGGTGGGAGGGAGTGGCTGAGCCAGATTTGTCACATTGCTATGGTCTTGGATGTCAGAAGAGAATCAAAATGAGGGTACTGTGTGAGGGGGGGGACAAACTAAAACAGTCAGAGTCTGCCCGAGGCATGGTGCTGGAAGTAAGATATGTGGGGGATGAAGGTCACCAGGCAGGAATATCAGGGAGCCTAGCACCCGCTCTCACTTTCTGTAAGATCTAGAGAAGAAGGGGAAGAGGGACTTCTCTGCCAGAATTGCCGCAGCCACAACCTAACCTGAGACTATTGAGCTGACTTCTCTCAGTATCCATGGCCCTTTGCTCTTTATCCAGTGCTTTGGGCCTCTGGGCCAACCCCCACATTAAGGTCCACCAAACTTCTGAAGGAGATGAGAAATATGTTTACTTGGGATGCCTTGGAGCCTAAGAAGCCTGTTTGATGTTTGAGGTAAACGCCCCGCCCTGAGCTTGCCCTTTCTTGGAGGGTTATCTGTCAGACCATCTGTGTTCCTTCCCTACACGGGACTCCTGAGATAGGCTGCCCACCCAGACCACTGCCTGCTTCTACGGGGGCTTTGATTCCTTCCATCTCTATTGCCAGGAGGGAGGAAGGGGTGGGGAAGATAGGGTAGGGTGGGCACCCTCCAGATACAATATAACTGGGCTGAAAGCGCTTCTCCTCTGTTTTTCTCTCTCTGGAAAATAGATAATATACTCATTGTTTTAAATTGACACAGAGTGTGTATTTATAGATGCCATGTTTTGATATATGTACATACTATATAATGTTCAATTGAAATCTCAGACACTTGTCATTTCCTTGTGGTTAAAAAAAATTCAGCGGTGCTTTCTTGTAGATTGTTTGGAGAGGAACAGCACACTGTCATTCCAGTCATATCAGAGAGCAACAGAACTTATTCCTCCTCTCCAGCTCCAGCTAGGTGGTGTCCATCATCCTGTCTCCATCCCTCCTCCCCAACCTGACAACCACCACTCCTCTCTCAGCTCTGTCAAATCCGCTCGTTCAGATTCCACATGAGGTCATCTGCTCTTTGTCTTGCCGAGCCTGGCTAGTCTCGCTTAGCACAGTGTCCTCCATCTCCTTCTATGTTGTTGCAAATGACAGGTTACCCTTCTTCGCATGACTGATGTCACATGTTCTTTCCCAGCCCGTCAGCTGACGGAGACTTTGGTTGTTTTGATTTCCTTGCTATTTTGAATAGTGGTGCTGCCATAGACAGCAGGCAGATGTCCCTTTGAACTTATTTCCACTCCCTGTTTACCCAGCCGTGGCATTGCTGGGTCATATGGCGGTTCTGTTTTCAGTTCTGTTTGTCTGTGTGGTGCTGGGAATCTAACCTGGAACCTCTCGTAAGCCAGGCAAGTGCTCAGCCACTGGACACCCCGGCTCTATCTGTTACTGTTTTGGTGAACCTGCATAGTGTTTTCCATAATGGTTGTATCATTTCCCCTTTTCTGTAGGTCATAGATGTGAGTGTACCCTGGGCCAAGCGCTGTGGAGTGTTTTATACTCTGCTTCCTCTCCCAGCATCCCTCTGTCTCCTCTTCCCCTAGGATAAACCACTCTTATCCACTGACTTATTGTCTTTGCGTGTGTTCAACAGAACATGACAAGGACTCTCTTCTTCCTCCTCCATAAGTGACTTCAGCCCACATAGTAAACTTGTGGAAGAGAGAAACCAGGAAGGAACTAGTTAGAGTCAGATCTGAGGACTTCTGGTCCGAGACGTACGTACTGGTCAGTATAGAGTGGGAGAAAAGTGGATGAGGACCTAGGCACCAATGATTTGGGTACCTGCCTCTCTGTCATGGTGTCAGCAAGGCCACCTTCTTCCTGCCTTCCTGCCAGTCATCACTTAGGGTGGGCACTAGCATTGAGATGGTATGCTTACTGCAAAACATGTCCAGGACTCTGCCTGGGCTTGAAGAAATTCAGCTCAGGGCGCTACAATGAGGTCTGGCTCATTTGTAGAATCAGTGTCAGGAGGGCAAAGTAATACAGCCTCTAGAGGGAGGATGCTTGCTGTGTCTGACAGACCACATATGCGATTACACAGCAGCCCAAGTCATCATCTCAAGGATGCAGACCCACAAATGAAGACACGTGTGTGCGTAAGGCGAGTCGGGTGTATTTGTAATAGAAACCATTGCAAACTGTCCTGTTGCCCGTTCTTTTTTTTTTTTTAACTGTATTCTTTTTTATTATTAAATGAATTAATTTTTGAATGATCTTTTCTCATTTTACATACCTATCACATTCAAGCCCTAAGGATAAATCCTGGTCCCACTGCCAGTGGCCTCAAAGACTGCCCCAACCACATATCTGCCACCCACATTCAGAGGGCCTAGTTCGGTCCTATGCAGGTTCCCCCACTGTCAGTCCAGAGTGAGTTCCCACTAGCTCAGATCATCTGTTTCTGTGGGTGTCCCCATCATGGTCTTGACCTTT